ATAGGATAGAGGCCATGAAGACTTGAATGAACACTATGAACGTCCGACTAGATCTTCCGAGAGCCAAGGTACCTCCGGAGAACATACCCTGCTTTGATGCGACCAAGGTAAGGGAGTTCCTAGAGGACTATGATGTATTTGGGGTGAGTCATGGTTGGTCAGATAAGTAGAAGTTGAAAGCTTTGCTAGCCTATGTTGAGCCAAAGATGAGGGTGTAGGTGACAAAATTTACACAAGGGCTGGCGACATGGGCGGATGTTAGACAAAAGATGTTGGAAGAGTATGCTAAGTATGACGTCCCAACAACCATGCAAAATTTGTTGGACGAGCGACGTGCCAAATGCACCACCCTCGACCAATTTCTAGAGGATTTTGAGAGGGTTGCGCGGAGAATGCCCTTGCTGGATGAGGCACATAAGTGCCATGTTCTGTTGACTAACTTTGCGGAGGATGAAAGGAAAAGCGTGGTAAGCGTGGTAAGTCGCACTGCTCATTACCCTCTGAAGTGGGAAGAGATGGTCGAGATGGTCCGTGAGTTACCTTCGGTGTCAAATTGGAAGTGGTCCCTGTAACAAATGAAAGCAATAACAAGTGCAAGAGAGGGAAACGTTGAGACAGCTGGGGGAGGAAACTTGAAGGCCGACGAGATCCTTAGTTTTTTTGTTAAGCTTGGTAGCTCCGAGAAGTTGACCCTCCCTGCCCCAACAACACAAACCCTAGTTCGGTCTGAAGAAGAAAAGGAAGAAAGGAAAAAGGAGAAGCAAAAGGAAAAGAGTGAGAGTGAGAGCAAAAGTGGTGATGATGATGATGCTAGGCAAAGGAGAAAGGAAAGAAGAAAGGAATGAGATAAGAAGCGAGACCGAGATTGGAGAAAGGATAACAGGAGTCGAGATTGACAAAGGAGAGATGGCCCCTTACGATGTTGTTATTGTGATAAGGAAGGTTACACTCTAGCCCGGTGCTCAATGCTAGAGAAGGAACTTGAAGAAGGGATAGTCAAGAAAAATGTCAATGACACATTTGTGATGCCAATTGGAACAAGATAAAATTTCGAGTTAAAGGAGGGATGCGAGCGATAATCCTAGAAAAAGCCAAGGCCAATAAGGATAAGAAGAAGAAGGCTAGGGTTAATGCTATCACCTTTGATGGCATTTTACCCCCGGAGATAGTGGCCCAGAACAGCAACCCTGGAAACCAAAGGTTGAACGTGTCTCATATTAGTCAGAAGGAAGTTGAAGAGAAAAAACGGGAGAAGGCTCAAGCCTCAAAGGGAGTTAGATCAACTGATCGATGACACAAAGGGACTAGTGAAGGAAGGAAAAGGAAGGGAAGTCGTCGAGAAGAAGAGAAAAGTGGTCTTCAAATCCGAGGCTAAGGACGGGGTCTCGATAGATGAGGTGGTGAAGAAATTGCTCGAAGAGACCGAGATCACCTTATCCTAGAAGGAGGTAGTAGCTTTGGTGCCCAAGTTTAGGGAAGAACTGAAGAAGATGGTTGAGAGGAGGAAGGTAGAGATCAACAGTCTGAAACTCGTCCCTCAAAATGTGGAGAGAGCCCCGCGAGGTACTAAGATGAGATTCGGCAACATGTCATGCAAATATCTTAATATCTTCATAAATGACGTGAAAGTTAAAGCTCTAGTAGACTCTGGGCCGAGATGGTGGTCATGTCCTCGGCCACGATGAGGTCACGTGGGCTCGAGATAGATAGGAAAGCTGATCACCAGTTCACCAATATAGCCGGATTTCTGCCTTTGGAGAGATCATTAATGATATCTCTATTCGAATTGGAACTTTACGAACCGAGATCTTTGGGTTTGTGGTTCCTAACTTGGATCATGACGCATCCTTGGAGCCCCTTTTCTGCATAGGATGGAGGCTTGTGCGTTCTTAGGTCATGATGTGGCAGCCTGGCTCCCTCTCCAAGACCCTATCACTGGTCAAGAATATGCTTTTGTCATAAGTGATAGGTATCATCCTCGTTATCAGCGACACGTTAACTCCCTTGAGCGTAGGGAATCCGACAAGCTGATAGAGGAAGTGCGGGCAAAGCTGAAAGAAAGTGGGATAGCAGACGAGGAAACAACGGTTAAAGTACATGATATTGGGAAGATGCTCAAGCTCCTGGGTAAAGCCAAGGTGATAGGTAAAGCAGGAGTAAGAGAGAAATGGAAGGATTCAAGGATGTTGTGAGGACAACAAAAGCTGGAACGATGCAACTCACCTTATCTGCGAATAAGCCTTTTTTAGGAAGATAGTCATTGAATCCAAGAGGAAGTATAAGCGCAAGCGCGTTAAGAAGAATCCGGTGGCAATCCTGGTAGAGAAAGATTACAATGAGACATTAGAGAAGGAAAAAAAAATAATCAAGGGATTGAGAGAGGCTGCGTTAAAAGAGGGAAGAGTTACCTTAGAATGGTTTAAGATAATGAGGGTCGGGGATGGTGATTTCCTTCTGCCTCCTGAGAGGGACTTTATCTGTAAGTTGTGTCAAAAGTACAATGGTGCCTTTTCCTTTAATGATGAGGAAGGGGACGGCTGAATGTTGACATGATGAAAATGGTCAAGATATGGAGTCCCTCACACACCTTGGAACGACAGACCCACTAAGTATGTTCAGAAAGAAGAAGAACTGATGAAGTACTTGAACCAGAAAACAGCCTCCAACGTCGTGGAACCAGCAGATGGCGCGTACGCCAATCACTGGTTCTGTTTTTGGAAGTTGGGTGGTGGCCTACGCTAGATACAAAACTTGCAAAAGTTAAACTCAGTAACAGAGTTCGTGATGCAGGTAGCTTACCCAATGCAGACCTGTTGGCTGAGTCTTTTGCTGGAAGAAGCATCTACTCCCTCATCCGAAGAAAGTTGACAAAATTTTGAACTGGCTTATGCCTCTAAAAACGATCAGGAAAGTAAAAGTTTCCTACGGGTCTGTGACTTCTGACGGATATTCATTCCTGAGTTTGCCAGGACAACGGAACCCTTTAGAGAGATGGTGTGACAAAGAGCTAGTCTAGGGTGGTCTGGTCAAAGAGAGACGGCGGCCCGAACACTCCAAGATAAGTCGTATTAGGATTACCCTATTTCGATGATGAAGGAGAGAGACCTTTCATCGAGGCCGATGGTGGCCCTATAGCCTTAGGGTGAGTGCTTGTGCAGCGAGATAAGAATAGTAAAGAGAGGCCACTTAGGTTCGAGAGCCGCACCCTTAATTCGGTTGAGAGAGGCTACATTCAGTTCAGGAAGGAGTTTTTGGCGATCCTGCACTGTATCAGGGTGTTCAGAGACTATGTTATGGAACGGAGGGTTGTCCTAAGAACGGACTCAACGACGGTGATTGGAGTTGTAAAGAGGCATCAGCAGGGAGATGCTACGGTTAGTAGGTGGATAACTCATATATGGACGTATGATTGCGCATTAGAAAAAATACCTACAGACAAGAATCGGGCTGATGGGTTGAGCCGCGTAGAATGGGGGCCAATAGATGAGAAAACCCTTGAGGAGGCGCTCTTCGTCGACGAGTTTCTTATGGAAGACAACGATGGAGGGTTACCTCCTGCCCCCATATGTTATACGGCCTCAGTCATGGCAACCGGTAGAGAGGACTGTTGGGGAAAAAAAGAAGATCCCTACCTCTGTTACCTCTTGACCAGAAAGGACGAGGAGGAGGGATGGTACGGGATGGTAAAGCAACCCGCTGTTGCAGCCTATGAGGTGACTGAGAGTTCGAGGATGGCCTAGGGTTGGTTGAATGAGATAGGAGATGGATTAGATAACTAGGAGCGAAGTGAGCACATTGAAGGAAAGTTCAGGAAAGAAGAATATGACGAACAATATAAGAGGATCGGTTTGGTAATGAGCAATAATTAGTTGAACGAGCTCTACCATAAGAGGACAAAAAGGACCTTTAGGCTACGTAAGGGTCAACTTTTTGTGGATGATAACAAAGGTCTGCCGCCGCTGACAGTGGTGTGGTAAAGGCAATTGGAGGTGATCGTTGCGATGCATGAGGGTTTGGCAGGGGGTCATTAGGGTGCTGATGCGATGCACTACTAAGTGTTCCAGCTATATCACTGAGATGGTTTAAGGGATATGGTTATGAGATACTGTAAGTCTTGTGAAGCCTGTCAGAAAAGGTCATCTATGAGATTTATTGAACCCTTATACCCCACTGTTCTTGTTGAGCATGGTAGTACTGTTTACCTTGATCTAATTACTATGCCCGATGGTAAGGATGAAATGAAATATGTATTAAATATGAGAGAGAATATGTCTGGTTATGTTGAAGCAAAAACCATTTGTAATTGGATCGAGGAGATCTACCTAAAGTACCCCTTCATACGTGAGTTTGTGGCTAATTAGGGATCTGAGTTCAAGAACGAGATAGTCAGAAAGCTCATCTTCAGACCTGGGGTCAGAATCAGATATGTGACAACATATCATCCTCAGGCTAACGCACCAGTTGAAAGAGGTCACATGACACTAAGGGATGCAATATCAAAATGGTGCCAAGGTGACTCCATACATTGCCCATCTTTCTTGAGAGTGACTGTCACTGTTGACAATGTGACTGTCAAACGGACTACGTGTTATGCACCTATTACACTCTGGTACGGCCGGTTGCTACTTCTCCCATTGAGAACGTGGTTGAGACCTGGACCCATCAAGCAGATTGGGGAGGGTCAGCGAAGGCACTCATCGGAGTCAGGGCCTCATGAAGGGGTGTGCGGCTCCCCGTGAGTTGTACTGAGCGAGGGCTCAGAGGTTGGTCGGACTGCCTTGACCGGGAATCAGAACAGACTTTGCCCTACTTGTCGGGTTGGGGCAGTGGAGGTGCCCACAAGGGTAAGCGGGGACACTCTCAGAAGGCCGAAAGGTAAGACCCTAAGGGTGAATGAGGAAGGGGTGTTGGCAAGGATCTTTATGGGAGACCCTCTTCTCAGGGTTTTTTTTGGCATGCCTTGACCTTTGTTTTGCATGTACCCCACAGCCAAACGAAGACAACGGGGTTTGGTACGACCTGACAGTGAGCGGCTCAGAGCCGACAGACAAAGAGAAAGGGGTTTGGTATGTTTCCCCCCTTATGATGCAGCCTTTGGTCAAGATGACCTGGATGATCCTGAGTTAAATGAATGGTCCCATATCCGCCCGTGGTTGGACTGTGACTGAGATGTTGATGGGGATTATGCTATGCTGATTGACTGCATAGATGAGATGGACTGATTTCGATGATGATGAGATGTGCAGGCAAGAACTGAGATTTGGACTGCTAGGCCAAACTCGATGAGGGGTTTGACCTAAGATCAATGCTGATTCAATGATGCAAGGAAACGGGATTGGTAACATGATTAGGTTGTATGAGCGGTTGGGATTTGAGTCAACCGTGAAAAGATGTTTGTGTGCGGTGGTAGCACCATACAAGATTAATGAGACTAATCCTTCTTCGATTTTGATGGTGGCTTGGACCAAAGGTCCATGCCTTATTGAGCGAGCACTCAAGCCCTAGCGGGCGAGCACCCTGATGGCTGGGAA